GTTTTACATACAGAAAAAAATATTTCCAAACGCCTTTTTCTTGAAATGGTGGAAATTAATAAGTCTTCTGATTGTATGAATAAGAAAACTGACATTGATAATCTCAGCAATATATACAGTAACTTACTGGAACTACATCAAAAACATGATAATAATGAAAATTGTATCGATCAATAACTCTTTCTTAAAGTCAAAGATTATGAAATCATCATACCCATTGAAAAATGACATTTATGTGAAGGTATGACATTTGTCAAACTAAAATATTCTTATACATGTTCAACCTATACATGTTCAATCTTCTCCGTCAGTTTATTATATGTTCAATGTGATGCAATTTTTATTATTATTATGTTTTTGATGTAGTTCCAATAAGTTACTATATATACTGCTGAGATTATCAATGTCAGTTTTCTTATTCATACAATCAGAAGACTTATTAATTTCAACCATTTCAAGAAAAAGGTGTTTGGAAATATTTTTTTCAGTATGTAAAACTTTGATATTGGAGTAATTTGGTTTATGTCCTGTTTCTATAGAGTTTTGTGCTAATGCACATGATTTCTTATTAAGCTTTATATCACTTTTATTTGAATTTATTCTATCATTAAGAATTCTAGATGTTGTTCCAATATAATCCAAGTTACAATTGTTACAAGGAATGTTATAAATCACATTTGACTTTTTGGTAGTATCCGTTTTATCTTTCAATTTAGTATTCAAATTATTTATAGTTTTAATATTAAGATGCTAATTTCTTGTTTGTATTACCCCATTCCTTCATTGCTCTGCTGATCTGGAAACCGTAGTTGTGTTCGATCTCTTCGAAGAAACCCATTGTTATGCAACTGTACATTTCTCCAGTCGCTAAGATTATCCACTTCTAATAATATATATATAATACCAGACAGACGGCAAGGCAACAACTGCTACAATCAGAAACGAGCTCAAATCGCAGAATTAAAATGAAAGAGGATTATGTATCAAATTTAAAGATATTTCTACAGTGGAATAACTTACTAAGACCATTGCAGTCACAATTTACTACCAAAATATAGGTGAACTATACTTAAGTTGTTCCACTATTGCTAATTCTTTCAAGGCTGGTTACATTAGACAAAAGTCGCCTATTTGGGGGAAAAACATTTTTTTTTCAGAATGTTCTTATCGATGACCATTCGTTTTGGAGATATTCGCAAATAACTAACTACCGTCTCCATTTTATATAATATGAAATAAGGCTGAAGAACTTTTGGTACTGTTTCACGTTTGTTATGATTTGGTGGAAATCAATTTTTGATGTAAAGTTTCGTTCATTGAATTCCATAAGTAATTTTTTTTAACTTTTCTATTCAAAAACAGAGGTCAAACAATTCCCTGTCAGAGATGACCACAAAAAAAAGTGATGGAGCNTGAGCTTGAATGCAACTAATGTGTTATACATTTTTTATTCTGTTAATTCAGTGAAAAAGTCTACATTAAAATCCCCTAACATGACACTTTTTTTTTAATTTACAATTGAAAATACAACAAGTGATTCAAACAATGATATGAAATTCTGGTAAAAATCTTTACCTGATCGATTTAAGCATATTACCAGCTTATTAAATATACTTATTGCAGCAAACTTCGCATCAACCTCGTTTGAATTTTTTTTAGATCAACTACAATTGTAACAGTGTCACATCGAGCAAATATTGTAACTCCACCATGACTGACTTTATATCTGCAAAAGAAACCTGCTACATAGTAGTTTTAAATATGAATATTTGAGACCAAGCCACTTGTCAGCCAAACAAAATAATACAATATCTTCAGACAGATAATAAATACATCAGCTTTATAACCTAAAGATTGCACATTTTGATAGAAAAAAGTAAGTTCTTGATTTTTTCACATGGAATAATGTTCATTAGATGGGATGGCATCCCATACTGGTCTTATGGAGGAGAATGAGTATTCCTCATTTTGTATGAAAAGGGATGGGTCTCTGCAATTATTTTTTTTCTGTTGCACTTTAAACTGGTGTGAATTGTCCAGGAAATTTTGACTTGATTTGAGATTGAAACGATTGTACCTCACTCCTTCAGGCCAGAAGCTAGTTTCATTGATATGTTATTTGAGATGGGGTATTTGTGAAACATATCAACTCCTTGCATTTCAGTTCAGTTTGTATTTTCATTATATTGGCAGCTACCTGTTGTTCAGTAATATCATAATCACTCTGATTGTTAGTCAACTGTCCAGTCACACTTGACTCACCCTGTTTATTTGAGTGGTTACATTCTGTTGTCGAAATATGTTTATTTTCATTAGTCTTTGTGTTTCGTTCGTTTTCATTTGTTTATTCAGGTTTTTTGTTCAGTACAATTTTGGTTGTGGTTTTTGTTTCCATCTGACTATTTGTGTATGATTTATATTTTGCGAATTTCAAGCAATGCAATTTTTTTGAGTAGAGGAATCAAGTGCTCCCTGTCTTCTCTTATTGTATCTTTATCCTGAATAATTTGTCTGAGTAGTTTGCTTTCTTATCTCAGTAACACATATTGTGTAACTAGTTTATTTCTAAGGTCATCTACTTCATGTTTACATTCTGCTTTCTTCTGATCAGCTGTTGCGAAACTAAATATGGCAGCGTGGTTTTTAATACCGAAGTACGTTGGCTTGGTAGAGGTGCAATGCTAAAAAAAACTCACCATTATTCAGAATTTTATCGAATGCTAATGATATTCAAGTAGATCTGTTTAATATTTCTGAAAGTAGCTTGAAACGAAGTTTGCCATCACTTCTACAAAACAGTACATAGATGTGCACATCAAGACTGAGTGATGCACGATTAGAAAGCTGCGTAAGTGTAGCTACTTCATCAATTCTGGCTGAAATAGATCAGCTTATATCGAAAAAACAGTGACAAATTTCTCATTCAAAATTCCAAGTTAATTCTTTTTTCTGTTATTTCCTTGTTTGTTTTTATTTTGCATTGAAATTTGTTTATGAAATCTTTTTTTTTAATGTCATGTTTTTTTGTCTAATATTTATTATTAATAAAGTTTTGTGAATTAATAATAAGTGTTACTTTATGTGCGGGACGCCAAAAAATTTTAAAATTTGAATTGAAATTGAAAAGGTCGCTCATCGCTGGCCGAGAATTTTGAAGTGAAAATAAATTTTACATTTCCAAGTTGTTATATTAGCTTAAGAAAAATTACTTTTCGTTAATATATTCATTCCACATTGAAAATTATTAATAATATATATTTTGGTTCCCGACTTGATTCAAGACAAATCTCAGAAATGAATCAAGAGGGACACTCTCATTATTATTGTTATTCCAACTGTGATAATTCACACTATTTGAAATAAAATTTATCATGAATTCGGAATTTGTATGTATAAAATTGTAATTCACCACTAACATGATTCTAGAAGCAATTATTGTAAACCTATTGCAAAAAATTCGTCACTTTTGTTGCCATAACACATTTCTGTTATAATTAGTACTACTCCACAAACTCAAAGGTGTATATTTGAAAATTTTGTTCTAGAAATTTGCCATGTGGCGTTCCAAACATAAACCCAGCTTTCAACGCCCCAACAAAAAACCCGGACGATAATACCCTCTATGCTGTCAACCAAAGATTTGCTTATATGGACCCAAATGCACCGAAAAAGAAAAATGTTCAAATGCCTAACAAATATAGAAACAATAAGATGACTGTTAGATTAAGGCCACGCCAAGTATTGTGTTCAAAATGTAAAGGAATATGTAACGAGAATTCAGAGATTGTTTCAAGAAAACGTGGAATATCGGAGAGTTCTCAAAATGTGTCTGCACCACCTCCAAAAAGAAGTATCAATGCTCCTATAACCAGATCTGTAAATACTGTAAATAATAGAAAAACTTTACGAGTGAAAGAACCTACGTTAGTTCCAAGGTTAACCAGATTAAACTTTAATGAAGATAATTCCATGGGTAAGAACAATTTGTTTCTTTATTTCTTTCATGTGTTATAAACATTTTGTCAAATTGTCAACATAATGATTTCCCAATCAAGTTGACATAAGTAATTAACCTTCCCACTTGAATTACAAACTACAGTGAAAGCTATACTCTACACGAACATCAGTAACTATTCAACAGTACTTGTTGATACAGAACTTGTTCATAATTTTTTTATACCTTATGGGCTTTGAAATCAATAAAGTTTACTATTATTATATTAGCCATATAGTTTAATATAAATATATAAACGGGGTAACCTCAGTAGTAAGATAATAGGTAGGATATTCAGTGAAAACAATATTAAAAATTCCAGATATTACTATTTGCNCTGTTAACATGATTCGAAAGTGATGGAATAACAAAGAAAAACAGTAAAAAAGATGAGATAAAATAAATAAACAACCACAATGGAAAAAACTTGAAAAAATAAATGACTAACTTTCTAACAGATTCTTTATACATGAAAATGCAAAGAAGACAATTGAAAAAAAAAATAAAAACAAAATGAAGAGAATATTGAGTCAGAAACGCCATTACTCAATACAAAAGTTTCTGGATGAAAAATTCACCTACCTACCCTAATATTAATCATTTAGTATCGAGTAAATGTTTTAGGGTGCCTCTAATATGAAATTATTTTTATATATTGATTTTAAAAACGAGTCTGAAACCAAAAATGATATATTTTTAGGAGAGATTAGTTTTCAGTAAAGGAAGATGGAGAAGTAGAAAGCCAAAAACCTTTCTTTCCTGAATCTTAAATATTTGTTACTTGATTTCAATAATTCCCATTGTGTATGATGTTTTCAAGTTTATTATGTCAAATGAAAATATTTCTTTTTGAAAGTCATTCCATGAGTCATCACACTAAACATTCAATTTATCCCTTGATAACATAATGTACTATTGCTACAGGTGTAAAAGTGAATATGAACAGCAAAAAAATATTAGAAAAAATAGAAAAATCTGAAGAAATGGACAAAAAACATTCCACTGATCATTCCTCAGACAGTTTGGACACTGATGATGCGGAAGAACTTTCCATTAGGACAAAGCGAATGTTACGAAAAAAGAGGAGTTTAAGTTCTTTAGAAGGTCAATGGGAAGATACAAGTCAACAAGAAAATACAAATAGGTAATGATCTATTTCGAATTATTTATGCTTTTAAGACATTTTTTATAGTCATTATGATGATTTTCATTGGTGATCTTTTGTGAATGGTCTCGATAAGATAACATAATTTACTTTTGTCATATATTCATATTGATATTTAAATTACAATTACATTAAATTTTCAGATGTATTCATCTAAAGATGACGTTCAACAAGCCCCATAATATCTAAACCTATTAGGTCTCCTTTCAGAGGAACTCAGTATAACGTAAAATATTTATTACATTTCCTTATATCATTAAAGATAGTTTCCCAAATTCTTGATTTGAAATTGAGGAAAGAAATGAATTTCACTAAGCCAATTAATTTGTGAAGAAAAGGGGGGAAACTTGAAACAAACCAAGAGTCATTATCGGGAAAGTTTTCTTTTTTAAAAAAATTGAAATATATTGACACTTTCAAAACATTTTTGCTCGTTTACTTTTCAATCATACGACTATTTTTGAATTTTTTTTTTAATGTCGTAATATTATTTTTCTTCATATCTAAAATTATTCCGAGATATCTAGGTCCTGTTTGGATATGATCCTAATGTCAAATAATGTGGGCTTTCCAGTTGTATAAAATATTGGTGCTTTCAGTTATTGAATGATTCTCAATTTTCAGGAAATTGTATTCGAAAATATATTTTGAACAAACAATAATTCAATATTCTTGTAAAATTTTTGGTAACTATTTTTCAATGCTTTATAAATATGCGATAAAGTAATCGTCATTAATCTTTCTTGAATTTGGTATAAGAACATAAGCTCAAAAAATCCAGTATTGGTGAATGGTTCCCTTAACTCTCTGATGACATGTATTAATACAATTATATACATTCGAATGAGAAGTGATAACAGCAACATTCCTCTTCTTACTGTTGTTATAGGAGTCTTTCATAGGGGGGATGAGTCTTCATCACTACTTCTTACTTTGTGTTGTTCTTAGTAGGACAGAAGGAGTTGAATGCTACATTCATGACCTGGCCTTCTGTTACTCTAACAGATTGAAACAGCTCTGTCTGGTATTAGGTCATGAATGCCAACACTTTTGGGCTCTAATACCATTCAAATATACTCTAAGATTATTTAACCATCTATACTAGTGATGGTTATAATCAAATAATTTCAATAATAGAATTATAAGCAAACGATTAAAAAAAATTGAAGTTGGTTATGATCCAGCATAAAAATAGTAGAAACCATCTAAGTTTGTACCAGTGAAGAAACTACCCTTGGTGAAAAAACTTCTTATTTAACAACAACAAATTTGGGTATTTTGATGATCCTCAGGCAATATCTAGAAATGCTTCTACCAGAGCATTGGAATAAGATTAATTATATTTCTGAATAGTCATTTTTGGAGTATTTATGTCCATTATTATCTACTATAATATATGAATCAGTCGTGTGTGAAACCCTTCTTGTCCCGACTCATGCAAGCATCGCAAACCTGATAGAATGTTCTCTTCAATAAAATTTGGCAGGTTTCTCAAACATCGATTCATATTTATTAGGTTATTTCAAAAGTTATGTCTGTTTTTATGTGTCTACTTAAAAATCTAATATCTCAGTGAATACTTATTCAATTCGATCGAAATTCAAATTCTTTATCGACTAGTTGGTTTCAAAATTGTACATATTGTAAGTCATAATTTTTACAGTAAACAATACATCCACAATACATCATATTAATCATTATTATTACTCTTTATTAGCAAATAATGTTCTTTATAGTACAGTTATATAATACAAAACAATAAAAAATATATATAAAATTAGAGACAAGTCACATTTTAACCCTGCGTAGGTCGCGCTCGATCTCTCAGATGTATGACGCATGTGTTTTCAAATTATATCTGTAATTCGCCGAATTTTAAACTGTGCTTCTTGCTATCTTGCTATATGTGTTTCTTCTATGCATTCATGTGGCTAACGTTAGTAGGTCTCTGCAGTGTGACTTGTAAACAGCTGATTCCTAACCTCTTGTTGTATTTACATCTGACAGATACTGCGCGACCTTTTGTGTGACACTATTTGNTGACAAAGTACAGATGCCGCAAATGTGAAGATTATTTTTGTTTAGAACATGCCACAATGCTCTGTCAAAAATGTTTCGATGAGGACACTAATCAAAGTTCAAATTCTGACTGAAACGATTATTTCTGATTTTTGTTATGTTTTTCTATTCAAGCATTATTCATCACTTGTTATGTTAAACGTATATTGTGTTCTACCTTAAATCATGTTTTTATTTTATTATAAGGTTAAGGTTTGCTTTTATGTTTATATAAGAATTTATTAATTTATGTTGACTTTTTCTAATTCAATAAAAGTACCTCATATTTGTTTTTGTTTTCATTAATACGACAGTAGTTCGATAGAATATCATTTTTAAGTTCATACATTTGTGAGATACCGTGCGACCCCCTACAACAACACGCGACATGCAGGGTTAAAAACAAGAAACTAGAAGACAAGACGAATTATTGATGACAATTACTTTAAATATATTCACTACATTTTCTTTTGAATGAATTTAATGAATCACAGCTTTTTATATGACTTGGCAAATTATTGAATGTAATCAGATCAGAACTATATAACGAGTCACAACCTATATGTTCTCTGTGGATATAAAAATTTCATATTCTATTTCTAGTGGAGTGTATGAATACTACTTGTGTAGGTTAAATGATCACTCAGATAATTAGGCAACATATTGTGTTTAATTTTAAATATAAATATTACCATATTCAGTGTTATCCTTTGTTTAGCAGACATAAGAGACAGTGTTTCCAACATGTATTCCACAGATGTGTGTTTATTATAACTTAATATTGCCCTCATGGATCTGTTTTGAAGCTTCTGTAGTCTGTTTAGATTTTCATTGCTCATAAAATAGAGTAATGTACTGCAATAGTCAAAGTGGGGTGCTATTATTGACTTATAAATTGTTAATTTTGCATATTCACTATTTTATTTTTCAATCTATATAAGAGATGAATTTTCGTGGCTATTTTCTCCTGAATATAACTACAGTGCGCATTAAGGTTCAATTCTTGATCTAATACCACTCCCAGATATTTAAAAGTTGTCACCCTTTCAATGATGACATTATCAATATAAAGATTCAATGACAGCTGTTCATCTTGCAGTTGTCTTAAACGATATTTGCTACCTATTAACATGCATTTTATTTTATTAACATTTAACTTGAGGCCGTTGTTACATAACTACTCTTTTATATTTAATAGTTCCTCATTCAAACATTCTGAGATTTCATTAGTTGTCCCAGAACAGTACAACATAGTGTCGTCGGCAAACAGTTATATCTTACACCTTTCAACATGTATCACAATATCATTTATGTACAGCAAGAATAGCAGTGGACCCAATACTGACCCTTGAGGGACTCCAGAAATTACATTTAAAGTACTGGATGTCACTTGATAATATTTAACTAGCTGCTTCCGATATGTGAGGTAATTTGTGAAGCATTTTCATACTTTATAATCTAGTCCATACTTATTTAATTTCATTAAAAGTAACTCAGTGTTGACTGTCTCGAATGCCTTTTTGAAATCCAGAAAGACAACACCTATAATACGTTTTTTAGATAGCTCAACTTTCCACGAAGAGATTAGAAATTGCAGTGCAGTTTCACATGAATGGGATTAAATTGTAAATTTTTTGTATTTGTGTTGTTTACCCTTGATAAAATTCATTTTATAATTACAAAACCGTCTAAACATAATTTGATTTTTTTATTGAATATAATTTAATATCCGCTGTTTGTGTTGACCTGTTCAGTTTATTTTTTTTTTTGAATCATCGAAGAAATTCATTAGCCATTTTCAATTTGTTTGGGTGTTTTTCATCATGATTTGTCAAATTCAATCTGGTCGTAAATTCAGCAGTTGGTCTGGGCGTTGAAGTAAATACCACAGTTCTAAATGATTTGCAATGTTTTTTTATTGTACTGTAGATTCAGTAATAGTAGTTCAAAAATTGGTACCGGTTAGTTATTTGAAGTTAGGGATCAGTTCCAAAGTGAGTGGGCCTATTAGATCCTTAACTGCAATCCGCAAGGATTTATTGTGGTTCAGTCGACCATAAAAAAAACTAGTGTGTACATTCTGCTTTTGCTGTTTGAAAATTTTGTGCAAAGATGGTTTGTAAGATATCCTGTTCTTACCTAGCTTTTTGGGTTTGCTAACAGGATCAAAAGTTTGAGAACTAAGAAGTTCTTTCTCTCGATCCGATGTTACAGGAACAATTAGGGTCGTTTAGTCGATGTCATCTCCTCTGTGGACTCAGGGTCGAAATTTTTTGTTACTTTGTGGTCTATAAAGGTCGTGACAGAGTCCCACATTAACGTTACAACACTTTCTACGACGAGAGATCAACCCGTTTCTTAAAGTTTCCATAAGTGTCATTGAGTAGGCTTAGAGTCATACATGCTTTCGGCACAAATATAAATGACATAGGATGTCCTGTCATCAGGAAATGACAAACTAAATGTTACAACTAACTTTGAGCTTTTATATACATCTCCACGAACCATCACCTTCAATAGTGAGGGTCATCAAATGAAGGTAATCAGATGAGTGTCATCAATTCGGTCGGTAGCCGGGCGGTTCGACGTGGATGCTTTGTTCACTCAGTCAATCGGCCGATGTGTGAGTCGATGGTTCAAGCCCCAGACTGAACGCTATCGTCCAACCTGTGTTAGGAATCACACGTTAAAAGGTAAGACCTCATTAGTCCTCAGCTCGCACAAGTTTCGACTTCTGAGGGTCGTCGTTCGTAGGGCTGCGATAGCTGTGGTATTTTGTTATTGTATTTAACTTTCCATTCATATGTTAATGGCTACCTGCTATGATACCTAATATTTACCTGGTTTCTACCTGTAATTATTAAATATACGAGTGAACAACAGGCTGTTTGGAATAAGACCTTTGTCGATATTCATAGATC